GGACCGGACCAGTCCGGGTCCGTGGTCCATGGGTCGTGGGTCTTGGGGCATGAGGCAATGGGTTAGGCTTGGGTTGGGCTGAGTTGTTGGTCCACCTAGCTTAATTTTTTTGGGCCAAGCCAGATCTATAGGTTGTAGGATTATACACATTACACATGTGTATAAAAAGACATAACTCCTCTATAATCATGATGGATTAAATCCATCAGTTTTGCTGATTAATTTCTTGGCAATTTTGTAGAAATTAAATCCTGCATTTGTTGTAGGAGAGCTCTGCATCTCTCCCTCCATGTGTATAAAAGGAGGCCCATCTCCTTCAGTTTTTCACCTAGAAAATTCTTCTCTCTTTGTGCTCCAAAGTTTCCTCACTTTTATATTCTTCTTAGTGTGAGAGAGTCTTACTTGAGTTCTATTCGCCGAAGGTGCTTGGCGGTAGCTGGTCCAACAGTTGTATCCTGGGAGACAGACGTCAAATAACCTCCAGCACTCCAATCGGTGAGGCGGCGAATCTGTTTTAAGGAAATTGTCTAGTGCAGGTTTCAGTTTGGTTTCTTTTGCCATGTTTTATTTTATTATGTATTTCTGTTTAATCTACTTGTAATTTTCAACATGTTTCTTGTTCTGGAATTTAAATCCTTGAATATGAATCTATTTGGTTTTATTTTATTACACAATTGGTACAACAATGTTTACAATGAACAAATCAACTTCAACATGAAGATTAACATAACCAGTTTGATAAGCTATTTGTAACCCTTCATGCATTGTCTAAAGTTCAATTAAATTGTTAGTAGTGAATCCAATGAGACATGCAAAATGTTGAAAGGAAAGTTCAGGTATGATCACGAAAGATGCCTCTAATGCTAGCATGTCCTAGATTGTCTAGAGCTAAGCCATTAACGTTTAGGTGAACAAATGTGGTATGAGAAGAGGAACATGAAGCACTCGACAAATAAAAAATCTTTTTGGATTATAAAGTCTTTTTAAGAAGTTTCTTAAAACACTACTAAAGCCTATGCAGTTGGTATAGACTATTTTGTTTGTTATTTTTTTCCAAAATACACATTAATAACTGCTCTAAACTATTTTAATTATATTAAATTTATTTGTTTCAAATAATTACCATATTTATCGGATCAAATTCTTTTAAATAGTTATTATTTTAAATTTTGCATATGTAGTGCGTGCTTGAATGTTGGCCTGTCCTAAATTGCCTAGAGCTAAGCCATTAATGTTTAATTTAACAAAAATGAACAGACACGGCATGAGAAGAGGGGCATGAAGCACTTGACAGATAAAATATCTTTTGGACTACCTTATAAGAAATTTCTTAAAACACTACCAAAGTCAATACGGTTGGTATAGGATGTCACCTTTGTTATTTTTCTTAAAATACACTTTAATAATTGCCCTAAATTGTTTAAATTATATTAAATATAGTTGTTTCAAATAATTTCCATATTTATTGGATCAAATTATTGTAATAAAGAATGTATAATTGTTTAAAACTTGCTTAACATGCACACGCTAAATATTTTTTTTTTAGCTTAATTGGATAAAAAATGAGAAATATCTAAAAAGTCAAAACTGAATGGAACGACAGTGTTGTTTAAATTTTTCTAAAAAATTATCTTGCATTAAGATTTGTCAAGGAAAAAAAAAATAAAAAAAATAAATAGACATGTTTGTCGTAGGGGAATTTTCATGACAAAAATATTTGTAAAAATTAATTACAAATACATGGAAAAATTTATGATTTTATTTTTTAATATTTGTAAAATTTATCACTAATCTAAAACTATTTTTCTAAAAATACACTGATTTGAAATTGTCCCTTTATCATTATATTTGTTTTTAGGATGTTTGATCAATAAATCTCATATCTTAGACTTGTGATCCATATATAGTCCCATATATTTTTTTGTTTGTGATCAATTTAGTTCTTTTGGATATGGAATGACTCATTTGCCATTATTTGATGATATGGGTAACCATACCAAATCTCCTTAATTATTATTTATTATTGTTTGTTGGAATGTTACATTTGAAAAAAATATACTAAATAATTTTTAAAAGACCTTCTAAATGTATCCAAAGTCGCATCATAACTGTCCGAATGCGTCAACCCCATTTATGGTAAGAAATTCCCAATTTTAAGCACACACGAAATCTTGAGGTGTGGGAATACCGTAGAATCCCGCGTAGGTCATCATCTTCTTTCCAAATTTGAACTATGTAGATTGAGAATCACCCAAATTCGTATTTTGGGGTAAACACATTTAGTCTTGCAATGTAAACAACCATTGTTCGGCTGTTTTTTTAAACTAAACCCACAACTGAGAATGGTTGAATGTTAAAGTGAACAACACGTTCACATCCGAGATTTGATGACAAGGTTCACAATCGAGATTCGATGTCAAAATAAACATATACGAAATGCGATGCCCCACAACGTGTTTGTGGCAATGTCATCAAACGTAAATTTAGACTAAGTTTGGGAACACCTAAAATAGTCAAAAGTTAAAAAGTCAATATAAAAAAGTCTAACTCTTATTTTTCACTTTTTTATATATTTTTTCATAAAGAGTCAAAAAATTAACTAAAATAGCTAATTTCCAAAACAATCCTTATTATACAACACTGCACCAAAATAACATGAAAAACTCTAGATAACCAAATAAACAAAGTATCCATACACATGACACACTACAAACAACCCATGTTCGACGTGTGCTACAATGAACTTCAACTCCAGGAACGTGTGAATGCGAATGTGGATAACATGAACTGATGATAAATTTCGCAACAAAAACATTGATAATTATGGAAAACCCATCAGTAGATACTTCTACGATGTAAATAACCGCCATTGTCCAGTGTGTCCCAACCAAACCCAACCTCTTGATTTTGTTACGAATGTGAATATGAATAACACATTTCCAAAATACATGCACGGCGAAAAGAAACCCAGTGTGAAAATATAATGTGTAATACACCCGACTATGGCATGTGAATGTGTAATACACAACTGAACTTTTCTAATGCGAACGATTGTGACGTAAACTCACAACTAGCATGGTTATTGATGTGAGATTTTATGCGGACACAAACACGAACTCGACTAACCTAATGGACCAATACACATAAACACCATTGAGGAAACATGGTAAAGATGACAACAACATACAGAACATACTTGTTCATCTCCAGCGATGTTCACACTTGCACCCTTGAAAAAACAAAAAAGCAAAATCCTATCCATTACAATGCAATCGATTCCCACCAATAAAGGATTTCTCCCCGTGTGGAATTCGACTTCCCAAATATGAAGACACAACAACGTAGTTGAAAGGATTGTGATCCCTGAAATATAGGTAGCTAATACGGTAAGGCTATGTTTGATTCCACAAGACTAATAGTGAGGTATTAACAATCCTATGAAATTAGTGTGGTATTCACAATCCCACCCCTATCCTATTACTAATAATCCTATAAATTTGTTGGATTAACTATCAATTGGATTAATAATCCTAAAAAAAATATCAAAACAAACATAGGATAATTGGGCCCACGGATTAATAATCCTAATCCTATACTCTAATCCTTCCAATCAAACATACAACCATCCAACAAACACTACCAATTTCGCAAAACATGATCTCACAAATTATCTTGTTACTTTACTAGGACTTGTTATGGTATTAGAAAAAACGTGAGACTATTTAGAATTCAAGCTGGTGAGCGAAGACTTTCTGATAAATTTTTCATAATTTTATTATGAATTTAATATTAATAATTTAAAAAAAAATGAGAAGAAAAAAAGGTGAAAATGTTTTTGAAAAATGTTATAAATTTCAAATTTTTTACTAAACAAATGATCAAATATCTCACATGAATATAGAATCCACAAAAATAGACTACACATTCATGTGAGATATTTAGTTATTTATTTAGTAAAAAATTTAGGGTGTGTTTGGTTTGTGTTTGTAGAGCAGTTTTTGAGATAAAAAGTACGAAAACTTGTTTGGTTTACCTTTTTTCAGAAATAGTTTTAGAAAATTGTTTTGGGGAGAGACTTTTAAAAAAAGTGATTGATTTGATGTGTATGAGAGAAAAAGTGATTTTGAAAAGTAGGTAACCAAACAAAATTTTGAGATTTTTTTAAAAAAATTTGTTTGATTTAATTACTCTTAAAAATTTATTTGTAGAAAATTTTTCTCAAAATTTTTTCAAACCAAACAAAGTCTTAGGCCTTGTTTGGGGTGTACTAATAAGTACACACTTTTTATCTTTTTTTCATTACATCACCTCTCTATTTTTTCACACATCTTTTCATAAAAAGTTAAAAAATACACTTATTTAGCTCATTCCAAACCAACCCTTGATATGTCTAACATATTACCCAATATTTTTTACTGACTACGTCACTATTTGACGTTATCGAAGCTTTATGAGGTTCACTACCACCACCTTCTAATCCACGTTAAATCACGCACTCGCTTATCTCACGCCGCTGGAGTGGCACTTTCGTAAATTAAAGTAATCTTCGTACACGTGTCAGACAGATCGAGCGAGTTCGATTCATTCTTCTTTCTCCGCGAGTACTCCAACTCGTTATTCATGCGCGTCACTGCTTTTCCATATTTTGAAACTCGAAGGGCACTTCAGTAATTTAATCAAATTTCAAGGTCAATCAACAAAAACATAAATGGAAAAGTTGGAATTAAACTTTTTCGCAAATATTACCGAGTCCCTTATCAATCGAACAATTCCCAAACCCCCAACACATCCCATCCATCCAAGCCACTAAATCGTCAAATCGTCACCGTCCATTTATCACTTAAAAGCTCGATCTTTATTTTCCTTAGTAAGGGCTCCAACTACTGAGAACCATTCTGAGCCGTAGAATTCCAAACCCAACAGTCCAGATCATCCTAGGTTGTTTTTCTCAACCCTTTTATTTGTGTGTATATATATATATATATTTATTTTTGGTTAATTGAAAAAAAAAAAAAAAAAAAAATTTAATTCAAAAAAAAATCGAAAAAGAAAAATCGACAATTTTCAATTAGGGTTTCAAATCGAACAATCGTAGATTCGAAACCCCTAATTTGATGCTGCGTAGGTTTGATCTTCGCGATTCGATGGAGGATATGTCGGTGTCTCGTGTTCTCGGATTGAGGTATGTATGTATTTTCTGTTTATTTCGGTCGATTTGGGTCGACAAATGGATTTTGAAGTTTTGTGGTGTTTGATTTGGGTTGGGTTTTGGGATTATTGTTTGAATCTGTTGTTTTTTTGAAGTTTTGTTTTGTATTTGATGTGTATTTGTTGTTTACAGATCTTGAAATTTGGGTACTAATGCGTATGATGGGATATGCAAATTGGGGGTTTTGGGTTGGGGTGTTTGGATTGAGGGATTGTTGATGGAAAATAGCGCGGGAAAGTCTGGTGGTGCTGAAATTTCTAGAAAAACTAGATCTTTGGATATTCAGAGTCTGTACAAAGCTAGTGTTTCAAAAAAAGAAGGGAATAATAAGAGGAAGAGTGTTGTAGTGGATGATGGGGAGGTTAGGAAGAAGAAGAGGAAGAGTAGGAAAGAGGTGTCGCTGAGTAGTTTTGAGCAGGCAGACAAGAAAAGTAGGAACAGTTTAGATGAAGTCTACGGTGATGGAGTGAGTTCAGATTCGCGCTATTCTGAGAAGTTGCACTTGGGGTTGAGTCGGAAATTGGATAGCAGTGGTGGGTTCAACAGCATTTCTCTTAATTTGGATGGAAATGGTAGTGTTATTCGAATCCCGAAGCGCCGCCGAGATTTCGTGGGTCGCAAGAAATGTGAAAAAAATAAAGTTTCGAGGTCATTGGCGACGTCTTCTAGTAGAGTCGGTGGTTCTGTTGATCAGATTGTAAAGTTGAATGATGAGTGCAAGAAATTTGAGGGCAATCAAGTTTCGAATAAGTTGGGGCCTACTGGTGGTAAAGCTAGTTCGGCTGGTCAGACTGTCAAGTTAAATGATGATTCTGCAGGTAAAGTAGTTTCTCCAAATCCAAAGGTTAAGGAGAAGACAGGATTTGATGATTCGAAGGAAAATAGGACTAGTAGGGTGAATTCAGCTCGGCATGCCAAAGAAGAAGATGGTCATTTGATTGTAAATAACGGGGATGTATCTTCTAAAAGGCGTCGAAGCAATCACAGGAAAAGGAACGAGTTATCATCAGGCAGTGAAAGCCTTGGAAAGAAGGTTGAGCCTCTGGCTGATAATTCCCCAGATGAGGATGAGGAGAACCTTGAACAGAATGCAGCGAGGATGCTCTCGTCTCGTTTTGATCCCAGGTGTACTGGTTTTTCTTCAAAAAGCAGATCTACTGCATCATCAAATACAAATGAGTTGTCTTTCCTTGTCCCCTCCGCTCAGGATTTTGTTGGTGGAACGGAAAGTTTGTCAGCTGTCTTGGAGTCCACATCTGTAGATACTGCTAGCCGAATATTGCGACCAAGGAGCCAACACAAAGAGAAGGGCTTGTTGAGGAAACGGCGCCATTTCTATGAGGTTCTTTCCAGGGACTTGGATGCAAAATGGGTGTTGAACAGGAAGATCAAGGTTTTTTGGCCATTGGATGAGAGTTGGTATTTTGGTCTTGTGAATGATTATGATCCCAAAACAAAGCTTCATCATATTAAGTACGATGATCGAGATGAAGAATGGGTTAATCTTGAAAATGAGAGATTCAAACTCTTGCTTCTCCCTAGTGAAGTTCCTCGTAAGATAGAGGCAAAAACTGCACCTACAGGAAATAAACATGATGACAAGGGAAAACGAGAGTTGACTAGTGATGATGATAGCTTTGTAGGCAGCTATATGGATTCAGAGCCCATCATTTCATGGTTGGTTCGTTCTTCTCATCGGGTCAAATCTTCTCCTCTTGATGTTTCAAAAAGACAAAAAACTTCCCTTTTGTCTACCAAGACTGATGGTGAACATGAGTGTTTGGACATGGGTTCGTCAGAAAGGGATATGAATAAGCCATCTAGTAATTCTGCCTTGCGAGATGGCTTCACTGGTACCAGAAGAGGTAAGAAGCTTGTATTGGAAGGTTCTTGCTGTGCCAAAGATAGCAAATCACCTGTTGTTTATTTCAGGAGGCGCTTTCACAAGAAAGACAAAGGATTGTGTAATGAACTTGAGGACAATAATGCATGGGGAAGCACCCCCGTGTCTGTTACTTCCCTTGTCCCTGTTGGTCACAACTTCCATGCTTCTAAAGCTGATGAGATTTCTCTTGGACACATGGATTCTGAGGGCCTATTGTGGTCAGTTGATAATTCAGGCTTGTTAAAATTGACTGTTCCCTTGGTTAATTATAAACAATTCAGGTTTGAGTTAGGCTGTCCATTGCCTGTCCTACGGTACATATATTTAGCAGAAAACTCTTGGTTGATCCGTGTTGTGTTGCTGCTTCACTACGGTACTCTTATGACTACATGGCCTAAGGTTCACCTGGAGATGCTTTTTGTCGATAATATTGTTGGATTGAGGTTTTTATTGTTTGAAGGTTGCTTGAAGCAGGCTGTGGCCTTTGTTTTCCTGGTACTGACAGTATTTTATCAACCTAATAATGTACATGGGAAGTATGTTGATATGGAAATGCCAGTAACTTCAATCAGGTTTAAACTTTCTTGTATTGAAGATCTTAGAAAGCAGCTTGTGTTTGCATTCTATAGCTTCTCTAAAGTGAAATACTCGAAGTGGTTGTACCTAGATTGCAAGCTCCAGCAACATTGTTTACTCACCAAGCAGCTACCTTTGTCTGAGTGCACATATGATAACATTAAGGCACTGGAAGGTGGTAGGAATCAGTTACGCCTAAGCTCAAGTAACGGGGAGCTCTCTGCATTTGAGGTATTCCCTTCTATTTCCCTCTTTCTGTACATTTGTTTGTGAACCATGCACCTAGAGAAAGGAGAAAAAAAGTTAAAAGTTACTTTCTTTGTGGTTTGTGGCTTTGGATTTTTTTTTTTTGGGTTGTTGTGGTATTACGCTATCAAGAAAAAGGAAAGATTTCTATTTGCATGAAAAATGCTTTTCTGTCAGCTTTGTCTTAAGCAAGGTTTCAAAAAGCGGTATCGCGTAACTGTTGCGGCCGTTATGTAATGGTTTCGGTAGGAGGCGCCACACATTACACCCACAATAGCGGTGTGATACAAAATCACTAGGGTAACGGCCGTTACGGCATCCATAGGGGTTGTAACGGTAGCGTAGCAGGCCGTTACAGCCATTACAGTACAGCCACTACCTTTGGTTTTGCGTAAAAAAATATCATAATGCTTTGACTGACTGTTGGAAATTGTTAAAAAATCCCCCTAAAAGTCAAGAATCTCCACTTTGTGGAGATAATAGCTTTATTATTTTTAACGAACTTAACCATTGATTTTTTAAATACTGTTATGATGAACACATTTATTTATTTTCTTATATTTTGATGACTATTTTTTTATTTTATTTTGTTTATTATGTGAAATGTTACCATTGTATTAGTAACAAATATGTTTGGTGGGGCCTATTAAACCAACACAGTGGTAATACCAAATGTGGTATGAAACTAAAGTCGTCATTATTTTAATTATTCACTCAACGTGTATGTGTATTTTTTTATAGTTTATGAACGTTAATTGGGATGATTGCATGTATTCATGAATGCTTTTGGACTCTTTGTTCTATTGATTCTTTCATTATTATTATTATTTTATTTTATTTTGTATTTTGTACCTGCAAGCTGCAGGTTTCAAACACGATATAATAGTATAAGACTATAATAATTAATTAATAACAAAATAAGTAGCAATAAATAGTACATTATGAATTTATAACATGTGAAATTATTAACTATTAGAAGAAAATATATAAAACTTTCTGCATAGGACTTAATGTTATTTAAAGTAAGACATTTATTTGATCATGTTTAAAAAATAAACAAAATTCATCAAAAATCATTTAAAACCCTAATAAATGTGATTATGAAATTAAAACACGTGTATCAATAAATTTTGTCCAAGTTGTTTGAAATAGTAAAAAATTCATGGATTCGGTTGTTGCAACCGTTACTCTACGCTTGTTACACCCCGCAACTGCGTCACCACCCACCGCAACTGTTACGGCGGCTACAACAGTTATTTGAAACCTTGATCTTAACTTTTGAGCTTTGTGTCCATTTCCTTTTTATCCTCTTTTCTTTATGACGTGTGTATATATATATATTAAAGGAATTAAATGTTAAGAAAGATATGTTGTAGCATTGTAGTTTATTCTTCTTTTTGCACAGTAGGCATTAAATGTTGGCTATGCACCTCAATTTAAGTTTATATCACAATCAAAGAGATTAACTGCTTTCAATTTCACTATCAACAGGGTTTAAGGAAGAAGTCCATGCATGGTATTTTGCCCATTGGTGCTTCCAGAGAGTCCTGCGTTGTAGCTATGAACCAGTCTTCTTGTAACTCTGATGCAAAGCATGGAATTTTTTTTCCATTCTCTCTTTCTTTTACTGCTGCACCTAGTTTCTTTCTTAGCCTCCATCTCAAGCTGCTTATGGAAAATAGTGTTGCTTGCATCAGTCATGATTTGATGTATTCACTTGAGCATTCAGAAAACACAGGCCAACCAATTGCTGATAGCTGCACTGTAATTCAGGATTGCTCTGAGAGTGCTTTGGAAATCACTCCCGAGGGTAATCCAGCTACTTCTATGAGGGAAGCTGAATCCTCTGAATGGTTGCCTTGTGCCAAATCACAGTTAGGGCCTGACACTATTTCAGAATGCAATGATCTGGCTTGGAATATGAGTGATGGTATTGTCCGCAGCCCCAACCCCAGTGGTTCTAGAAGTGTATGGCATCATAACAACAATAGCTCAAATTGTTCATTTGGAGATACCTCCCACTTATGGCCCAACGGAAAGGCAGACTTTATCTCCAATGGCTTTGGCAATGGACCTAAGAAGCCACGAACTCAGGTTCAATACACTTTACCTTTTGGAGGTTTCAATTCTAGGTCAAAGCACCCAATGCATAGCCCGAGAGGGCTTCCCTACAAACGAATCAGGAAAGCTAATGAGAAGCGGACCTCAGATGGTTCTAGAAATTCTCATAGAAACTTTGAGTTGTTGGCTTGTGATGCAAATGTATTGATTACAATTGGGGATAGAGGGTGGAGAGAATTTGGGGCACGTGTTGTATTAGAACTTGCAGACCACAATGAATGGAGACTTGCAGTAAAACTTTCTGGGACTACAAAGTATTCATACAAAGCACATCAGTTTCTACAGCCTGGGTCAACAAACCGCTACACACATGCTATGATGTGGAGAGGAGGAAAGGATTGGGTCTTGGAGTTTCCTGACAGGAGCCAGTGGATGCTTTTCAAGGAGTTGCATGAAGAGTGCCATAATCGCAACATCCGTGCTGCTTCAGTAAAGAACATCCCTATTCCTGGAGTTCACCTGATAGAGGAATGTGACGATGGAACAGAAGTGCCATTCATTCGCAGCTCTCCTAAGTACTTTCGGCAGGTTGAAACTGATGTTGACATGGCTATGGATCCATCACGTATTTTATATGACATGGACAGTGATGATGAACAGTGGATTTCAGAAAATCGGAAGTCTTCACATGCTCATGTGAGTAAATGTGAAGAGATCTCTGAAGAGTTGTTTGAGAAGACAATGGACATATTTGAGAAAGTTGCATATGCCCAACAGCGCGATCACTTTACATCTGACGAAATAGAAAAGTTTGTGGTTGGAGTTGGGCCAATGGAAGTGATTAAAGTGATCCACGAGCATTGGCGACTGAAGAAGCAGAGGAAAGGGTTGCCATTGATTCGACATCTACAGGTGCTTTTAAATTTATTTGCCAGCTTGTTATTTGCTTGCTTTAGACTTTGGGTCATATATATATATATATATATATGTATATATGAGAAGACAATGGACATATTTGAGAAAGTTGCATATGCCCAACAGCGCGATCACTTTACATCTGACGAAATAGAAAAGTTTGTGGTTGGAGTTGGGCCAATGGAAGTGATTAAAGTGATCCACGAGCATTGGCGACTGAAGAGGCAGAGGAAAGGGTTGCCATTGATTCGACATCTACAGGTGCCTTTAAATTTATTTGCCAGCTTGTTATTTGCTTGCTTTAGACTTTGGGTCATATATATATATATGTATATATTTATGTAAAAACTATTGCTCATTTAGATGGCATATGATCCCCTTAGTTTTGGTGCTGTTGAGATAATTGAGTAGTTGAGGATGATGATGCTTATATAATTGATCTTTGTATGCAATGTGTTTTCTGTTTGTTTCTCCTTACCACCTGTGATAGCAGAAACGGTTGTGTGATATTTTTTTCTCCTGAGTAATTGAGTGGTCAAGTTAGTCTCCATCTCTTTTCTACTTTTCATTATTGCTTTTGTCAACACCTAAAATAGACCACTAGGAGAATGCCTATCAAATTAGGCACATGCTAAGGTTTTGGACTTGAAAGTTGTAGATTAATAAGGGAAGCAAAAGTTGATCAAAAAATAATAAGGGAAGCAAAGATGCTTATTTTAGATGAAGGTTATGCATGAAAGTGATTGAGAGCCAATCGAGAGAATGTGTGCTACTATAAGAATTAAGATAGAAACAAGAAAGTACTTTATAACTTGCCTATGGTTTTAAAAGGATGCCACTGAACATGTTTATTATTATACAATTTTATAGGTTTCAATTTTGTTCATCCAAATTTTCTTTCGCCCTTATTATAATTTTGAGTTATTATGGGTTGATTACACAATACTAAGATTCTGTAGCTAATAGGTTAACATTGTTGTTATCGAATATATTGGAGGGCAATGGGGGTTAGGAGCAACAACATTAAACATTAAGAATGGAAATAGTTCTGAAAAATACACCACAAAAAATATTATCAAAGGAGTGTTTGCAAGAGAATAATCCGGAAGAATGAATGATCCACACTCTTTTGTCAATAGCCTTGTGCCTCAAAGAAACACCTTCAATGATAGATAACAAAGACACCAATTCATCAGCCTGGTGATTATAAAGATTTCTAAAGAAACTGAAATTTGGGCCAAATAAGAACAAGCAAATAATTGAGACATTAATTACGAGAACGGGATAGATGGTACAACTTTCCCTATCCAAATATCTTACCAAAAACGACTGTTCTTTTTCATTTCCTAAAATAAATGAGTAAACCGAGAAAATTGAGGAAGACCATGAGAAATACACTTCCTTGGTGACATGATAATCCCCAATCATTTGCTTGAATCCCATACTATTAATGACAGAATGCAAGAGTCACGCTCTGTAGAAATCTTCTTAACCACTTTCCAGGCAAAGCCATATTTATGGGGATAATACAAGACCCCTTTAATTTTTTGAAGGAAAATCCACACCCAACTAACCAAATGATCTTTATTCTCCTCGTCACTACATTCCCACAAAAAATCTCTCATTATTTGCCACACTTGCCATAACTTTGAACAGAGAAAAAAAGTAAATAGGTATACTTGACAAAACATACTGAAGGAAGCTAGATCTCTCACCCCTCGATATGAGTGATTTATTCTACTCGTCCAATCTCTTCCCAATTTTCCCAATAACTAGAATCCAAAATCTTTTAAATCCCCCCCACCCCACACCCACACCAACACCAAAAAAAAAAAAAAAACCAAGTACTTTAGAGTCAATATTGCAACCAGTGCAATCGGTCTTGTGGAAAATTAATTCCCACTATGGACTCTTGTTCATGTTCACCTTAAAGCTTAGAAGACAATTAAAAATGGGAAAATAACCAAACCCCCCCCACCCCACACCCACACCAACACCAACACCAACACCAAAACCAAGTATTTTAGAGTCAATATTGCAACCAATGCAATCTGTCTTGTGGAAAATTAATTCCCTCTATGAACTCTTGTTCATGTTCACCTTAAGCTTTGAAGACAATTTAAAAATGGGAAAATAACCAAAAGGTCCTGCTTTTCCCAAAGAAAAACTATTAAATTCCTATCAATTGTCTATTAGGACAAGTCACTCCTACTTTAAATAAATTATTTCAAAATGGTTCAAAATTTCATTAATACTATACTTCCTTCCACTTTTACGCAAGGTTTCAAAAAGCGGTGTTACGTAACGGTTGTGGCTATTACGTAATGGTTTTGGTAGGAGGCGCTACACCCACAACAGTGGTGTGACAAAAAGTCACTAGGGTAACGGCCGTTACGGCATTCGTAGCGGTTGTAACGGTAGCATAATGGGCCTTTACAGCCATTACCGTACAACCATTGCCTTGGGTTTTTGATAAAAAAATACTATAATGCAATTATTGGCCTACCCCATAGTGGAACCACGATATTTGACCTCCCAATAGTCTCTCAATTGCTCAGATCTACAAACTTTTAGGTCTCCAAATTTTCAGATCTACAAGCTTTAGCTCTGCCGTTTTCAAATCTATTTCTTGATCTTCAATCCCTAGCCTTCAAACAAGGTGAATGTTAAGATTTTGTATGAGGGGTAGAGATAAAGTGAGAGGGTTGAGAGGGAGAGGGTGCAGTTTAGTCGATTGACTCAACTACTAGTATGTTTGGCACTTCCATGGTTGATTATTCTGCATGGAGAAGAGAGACGAGTGAGAGGGATGATTGGATGAGAGAGAGAGGGGTCTCGGCTAACTGGTTTGGGGGCTTCTATAGGTTTATTTTGCCGAGAGAGAGAGAGAGAGAGAGAACAGGTCATTGTATGAGCCCTTGAGGGATTTGACTGACTGTTGGAAATTGTTAAAAAATCGACCCAAAAGTCAATAATATCTACTTTGTGGAGATAATAGCTTTATTATTATTATTGACAAACTTACCCATTGATTTTTTTTAAATATTGTTATGATGAACACATTTATTAATTTTTTTATATTTATGATGACTATATTTATGTATATTTTGTTTATTATGTGAAATGTTACCATTATATTAGTAACACACTTATTTGGTGGGACCTATTAAACCAATACAATGGTATAAATGTGGTATGAAAATAAAATATTTTAATTATTTACTAAATGTGTATTTGCGTTATTTTTAGTTATGAACATTAATTGGGATGATTGTATGGATCATAAATGCTTTTGGACTCTTTGTTCTCTTGATTCTTTCGTCATTATTATTATTATTTATTTTTGTATTTTGTAACCTGCAAGCTGCAAGTATCAAACACAATATAATAGTATAAGACTATAATAGTTAATAACAAAATTAGTAGCAGTAAATACTACATTATGGATTTATAACATGTGAATCATTAACTATTAGAAGAAAATTTATAAAACTTTCCGCATAGGACTTAAAAATGTTATTTAAAGTAAGACATTTATTGGATCATGTTTATGAAAGTAACAAAATTCATCAAAAATCATTTAAAACCCTAATAAATGTGATTTTGAAATAAAAACATGTGTATCAATAAATTTTGTCCAAGTTGTGCGAAATAGTAAAAAATTCACGGTTCCGGTTGCCGCAACCGTTACGCTACGCTTGTTACATTCCGCAACCACGTCACCACCACCGCCATTGTTACGGTGACTGCAACGGGTATTTGAAACCTTGGTATTAACTTTTGAGCTTTGTGTCCATTTCCTTTTTATCCTCTTTTCTTTATGATGTGTCTGTATATATATATATATATTAATGGAATGAAATGTTTAAGAAAGATATGTTGTAGCATTGTAGCCTATTCTTTTTTTTTTTGCACAGTAGGCAGTTAAATGTTGGATATGCACCTCAATTTAAGTTTATATCACAAACAAAGAGATTATAAAGAAGTTCACACACACACAAAAAATATAGATTAAAAACTCAAAAATTAATTTTGAAAACTCAATACCAAACATAATGATTAATATTTGGACTTCTAAATCTATATGTAACAAATCAAAAATTTAGTAGTGACTTAAAAATTAGAATCCAACTGAAATTACTTAGCAATCACCTCAAACAAAAATTTAAGTTTATATCACAAACAATGTTCTTACAAACAATAACAATATTTGGCTTTAGCAATCACCTCAAAGGAAAATTGAAAAAATAATTGAAAAAAACCCTTACAAAATCAACTAAATGTTAACTCTCTAAATGTCACAAGGGTATAAGAGGATGTCAGGGAAAGCAAGACTTGTGACAGTGTTTTATTCAAAATAAGACTGGATTGTCTTAATTGAAAATTGATAGGACTGAATGGTTTTTCTATAAGAAAAGTAGGACTAATTGGTTATTTTCCCTTTAAAAACTCTAAGAATAGATACTAATACAATTTTATGTTTGTAGGTGCTTGTTTTCGTTGATTGTTTTGTTCCTGTTTGTGCTTCCAATTCATCTCACCATCACAACACCACCATCACTCAATTGCGTTCAAAAGATGTAGAATTTAGAGTTAGCAATATTTGAGTCAATTTATGGTTGGAAATGGTGGTGGTGGGGATAGTGGGAGGAGATGGTGGTGGTATTGGGGGGGCAAGGTGGTGGCTGTAGTGGAAGGTGATGGTGGTGGCGATTTCGGCAAGGTGATGGTTTTATGTGTATTGGAAGAGTTTTGTTTAAGAGGGATAAAGATTTGGAAAAATAAAAGGAGAGAGACATGGAATGCAATATAGTTATTTCACCTTTTTAGTGTAGAGGGTATTAAGGTTATTACATATTTTCCTCTGCTTTCATTAAAAAACAAACATTGATAGGGGAGGTCAATATACCAAACCAATCCAAGCATTGTGTCCCTATCAAGTGGGGTTTGCTACAGGAGTACTTATTTACCATTCTATTTTATCACGGGCTACATGCTCAATTAAATAAAATAAATTCATATCTTTTTTGACTATCGCATCCCATGTCAGTTTAGGTTTCCCCTCCCCCTAACATTTTCATTTATGGTGTTCATATCACTTTTCCTTACTGTTGCACCTATCTATCTTTGTTGTACATGACTAAACCATTTTAGCTTGTTCTCTCTCAACTATCTTCAATTGGTGCTACTCTTACCATTGTTTGAAATTTTCATTTCTAATCCTATCTTTCTTAGTCTTACCACGCATCCATCAACATTCTTGCCTCAAGAACACTCATTTTATGAACATCAACTTAGTTGCCCAACATTTGTCTCATATAGCATCATGGACCTTATTCTATAAATTTTTTTGTTAAATTTTGTTGGTATTCATCCATTGCCAGATGCACTCCTACACTTGAGCTAACCTACTCTGATTCTGCATATCACATCATCTCTAACCTCACCATCGTTGTTAGTAATCAAACCTAGCTACTGAAAGTGTTAACTATTTGTTATCTCCTGGTTTTCAATTTTCACTTTTGATTGTTTATATTTCTACTGATAGTCTGATTTAGCCTCCTTACTTTTTAGATTTTTCTTTTGCCTTTTTAAAATAATTTTTTGGGGTTGCTGTAGGATGGGTGGGTGGGACTAAATACTGGGGAAAGGGAGCCTTGTTTGATTAAGTCCTTTTCAAAGAGCTTGTTATTGTTTAGCATGATTTCTGAATTTCTGCTGTTTTGTCAGCCTCCATTGTGGGAAAGGTATGAGCAGCAAGTGAGAGATTGGGAGCAAACAATGGCCAAAGCCAACACTGTCCTCACCAATGGAAGCCACGGGAAGGCTCCACCCATGGAGAAGCCACCAATGTTTGCTTTCTGTTTGAAACCTCGAGGTTTGGAAGTGCCCAACAAGGGTTCAAAACATAGGCCACATCGGAAATTTCTGGTTTCTGGGCACAACCATGCCGGTCTGGTTGATCAGGATGGTCTTCATGCTTTTGGTAACTTCACTTGTTCCTTTTACATATGATGTTAGGGAGCTTCTAAATAGACATTTTTAATTTCTCTCTACACCCTCCTCATGCATATAAGTGGGTGTAGATAGAAAATTGTAGGGTTTATTAAGTAGCTCCCCTGATGTTTACCAGTAACCATTTTTTGCTTCAGCTTTGAAGTCTTTGTTAATCTGTTTCTTTGTACCAGGGAGAAGATCAAATGGATTTGCTTTTGGAGATGAGAAGGTTATGTTTGAGGGAAATAATCATGAATCAGATGCTTTCCCATTGTTTCAGACATCTACGAAGGTATTCTCACCAAGGGCTGCTGGTGGCTCTGCATACTTCCCGTTGAGCAGTGATTGGTCTGAATGGAATCGTCACCCAAAACTTCATAGGAATAAGTCAAAGAAGAGTGGGACATTTCTATCCCCAAATAATCCGCCGATGGTGGCTTCATACAATCAGAGAGCAATAGGCAAAAGAAATGGGGTTCATCGGTGGAATATGGGCTTCCCTGAGTGGCCAAGTCAGAAGCACTATCAATCGGAGGGCTCTCTAAGGCATGGCGTTGAACAATTGGATGGTTCAGACCTTGATGAGTTCAGGTTGCGAGACGCATCTGGTGCAGCTCAACATGCACTTAACATGGCTAAGCTCAAGAGGGAAAATGCTCAGAGATTGCTTTACAGGGCAGACCTGGCAATTCACAAAGCTGTGGTTGCGCTCATGACTGCCGAGGCAATCAAAGCTGCTTCTGAGGATTCAAATGGCGATGTGTAGGATGATTTTAGTTGAAATGAGATCGAGTGAATGACATTTCTGCGGCCTGAGAATTCATATAGGTTTTTGAGTTGACATTGTTTTTTAGCTAGATTGGCTCTGGTTTTTGCTTTTGTCAATGGTGGTGGCTTTTTCATCATTGTCTGTAGATTCCGAGTGAACTTCTAACATGATGGCTGTGAGCAGTCAAGTGGATCGGAAACTGTTGCTTCTGCTTCTGCTTCTGCCATTTGTGATGATTCTCTCCAACACAAGGCATTGTCGTTATCAAGGGCAGTTTTGGTACATAACTTCATGGTTATTATATGCACTAGTTCTTTTTCCGAGCAGCAGGTTATCTCAGTGTAATGCGACTGATGTTAGCACTCGTGCTGGTAAGGGGTTCTGGAATTTTGATTGCCGATCATTGTACAGCTAAATTTTTTCTCCTTTTTTTTTCTGTTGTCATTTCTTTTTCTCGTTTAACCTCAGTTTAAGTGTTTGATATTGAAGGAGCAATTGGCCCAAATAATACAGTACATCCGTGGAATTGAAGTACAGAAATCCTATGTGATTTGACTTTGGAGCAGTTGCTTTGCTTTTTTTTGTATGACGAACAGAGTGATCTGTCCCTAGAAAAGGAGTGGAAAAGAAATCCCCTTAAGTAAATTAATCTGTATAAGTTTTGTCAGGATCTTTAGAGGCTTAGATCTTGTAAGCGTATGCATAGATATATATGTAAATCTATATTTGGGTTATTCCTCCTAGTCCTTGATCTGTGCTGTTTGTTAAGAGGGTTGGAAAACCTTGATTGAATATTAATCTTGTATGCGGCTTTAGAAACAGTTAGAACCTATTTTTAGTTCCATTGTCCCTTTTTTGAGTAATGGGAGGAATGAGGTCCATGGGGAGATTAAGGTTGAATGTCTGATGTTGGTGACTGTTGGTAGGGATGGTAATTCTGTTTGTGATGTTTATAGTTTGCTGAGGTGGTCAGTTATTCACATTGCTTTGGCACTTATTGCCCCGTTAGGTGATGTTTATAGTTTTATTTTATTTTTTGGAGTTTTGGTCAGCAGGCTTTTGGGTACAGTTTACAAGACGATAAATAGACTTAAATAAGTGGGAAAAAGTTGACTATTGAGAAGCTAGGGATGAAATGTTTTTAACTTTCGCATTAGACCGGAGTGGTTATTGGAAAATGCTGTTAGAGGCTCTAGTTTGCTGAGGTGGTGGTGGTGGGTTTGATCTTGGTTAAAGAAACTGAGTCCTATTTGAGTAATTTGTGCTGTCTATGAATTTGCTTGGGCATAGTCATTGGAGTAGGGTTAGGCGCTTTGCTGATAAAAAAATGGCCATCTTTTGTGAAGGTTTAGGAGAAGGTTATAACCAGTTTTCATGCCAAGATGCTGGCCATCTATAAAATGGGAAATGTAGCCTTAGTAAATTCTTCTTCAGAACACTAGAAAACTGTCTTTGGAAGTTGAGCTTACCTTGTTTGGGAATATATTTCTCATGAAGGTTTTACATTAGACAATCAATACATCATTGAATTTATGAGGTAATTTCTGAGGTCAATGCATTTGGACAGTGAGGTTTTTTTTTTTTTGGACGAATTGATTAGTTTGGATTAGCATTCTAGGATTGTTTAGTTTTGGGATTATATTATTTTTCATGTTTGGATTGGCTCAAGACTACAGGAAAGGATTGACAAATTTTATCAATTTTGTAATTTCGAGGTCATTTGAAAATTTGGCTTTTTTAGCATCTTTTTGACTTTTTTATGAGATGAAAAAGGTAAATTTGTCTGGGAATGTTTCTTTAGTTGTATGGAAAAACATGATTGATTGATTTGTATTGGGGCTGTTTGGGAAGTGGTTTGGGCGGCTATTATAGCCTAAAATAGCCTTGTAGCTAAAAAGCCCACTGTTGCTTGTTTTTCACAAAAAAAAAAAAGAAAAAGAGGCTGCACAGCCTGTTAGTTACAAAATTTGTTCCATCAATGGTAAATTACGGTTTTATCCCTTGACAACAATTTAAAAAAATATATTTTTAGGAACAAATTTATCATTCAAATTTCAAACATCATTTCAACACATTTTTTAATACAACAACTCAAATAAAATTCATCTCAAACTTTCCAAACACAAAAATTAAAATAGCTTATTAAAATAGTCAAAAAGTCAAATAGCTTACTAAAATAGTCACTTCTCAAACGAGGCCATTGTCTTCGTTTTCCATTTTTTCCTTGTAGAAAATCAAGGTATGTATTGGTCTTTTTATAAACTGAGGCGATATTGGTCTTTTTACACCGATGGCTCCTAACTCTATCAATCAATGAGACCCTTTGCTTTAGGGTCGAGTTCTGGGGAAATCACTACACATTGTAACAAGATGAAAAAAAAGATACACAAGATCTTGGTTAAAGAAACTGAGTCCTATTTGAGTAATTTGTGCTGTCTATGAATTTGCTTGGGCATAGTCATTGGAGTAGGGTTAGGGTTTAAGTAAGTTGGCGCTTTGCTGATAAAAAAATGGTCATCTTTTGTGAAGGTTTAGGAGAAGGTTATAACTAGTTTTCATGCCAAGATGCTGGCCATCTATAAAATGGGAAATGTAGCCTTAGTAAATTCTTCTTCAGAACGCTAGAAAACTGTCTTCGGAAGTTGAGCTTACCTTGTTTGGGAATATATTTCTCATGAAGGTTTTACATTAAACAATCAATACATCATTGAATTTATGAGGTAATTTCTGAGGTCAATGCATTTGGACAGTGAGGTTTTTTTTTTTTTGGACGAATTGGATTAGTTTGGATTAGCATTCTAGGATTGTTTAGTTTTGGGATTATATTATTTTTCATGTTTGGATTGGCTCAAGACTACAGGAAAGGATTGACAAATTTTATCAATTTTGTAATTTCGAGGTCATTTGAAAATTTGGCTTTTTTAGCATCTTTTTGACTTTTTTATGAGATGAAAAAGGTATATTTGTCTGGGAATGTTTCTTTAGTTGTATGGAAAAACATGATTGATTGATTTGTATTGTCTTCGTTTTCCATTTTTTCCTTGTAGAAAATCAAGGCATGTATTGGTCTTTTTATAAACTGAGGCGATATTGGTCTTTTTACACTGGTGGCTCCTAACTCTATCAATCAATGAGACCCTTTGCTTTAGGGTCGAGTTTTGGGGAAATCACTACACGTTGTAACAGGATGAAAAAAAAGATACACAAACATGGAGGCGTGCAAGTCAACATGGAGGAGCGCAAGTCATAAAATGTATTTGAGTTGTACCCGATCACAAGATGACTTGCACTTTTCATATTTGTGTAATTTTTTTTTTTGTCCCACTATTGAGTAATTTTCCTTTGAATTTTTGACATTTTTGTTTTAAGCTTTTTCCCAAACAAAGCGTAGTCAATTAGTCCGAATCTAAACTTTGATTTTGTAACCCGTTCTATTTTTTGGGGATTCAATAGTCCCTCAGATGAGGGATATTATGTCTGAATGAATTATTAGTGTGAATATCAATTTCCTAACTAAATATGACATTATGGATTTTGTTACATTGTTAATTCAATTCTAATGCCATGTTGTCTATGCTTATCCAATATTTAATTGTTTGATTACAGTGAAAAGTAGTATGATGGAAAACGAAACTGGTAGAAAGGGAAGTGAAATTCGTTCTCTTATATGCATTTGGTTAAAGATGAAATTTTGTGAGAAAGTTGGAAGAAAATTGGGAACAGACAATAATAGTGGGTTACTTTCTCTAGAAAAAAAATGTTCTTATACATTAGTCCTTATATTTTGTTGCCCGGATTATTTTGGTTTATATATTTTTAATTGGCTTAATTTTAATATTTAATTTTAAATTTTATCAATTTGATCCAATTAATAATGTCGTTAGTGTTTTTGATGAAAAATGATCACTAAATTGGTAGAGGTTAACTCATTGAGTTAACTAAATTTATAATTTTATCTTTAAAAATATAACGGGTCATTTATGTGTGTATTTTTTATAAAAAAATATTAGGAGTTGTAATTAGTTAGAATAAATTAAAACAAAATTATAAATTTAAGATCAAAATTGTGTTAATTTGCCCTTCATATGTTTATCTTGCTAAAATATGATACATATGAAATTGATTTTTTTTGCAGTTACAGAGGTTGTCGCTAATCTCTTGCTAAAAAATGTTGAAATTTTATTTTTATTTTTAACCTCTTTTATTCTAGCCAAACTAACCCTTATTAACAAAAGTATGACAGTCGGAAAAAAAAGAAAAAGAAAAAGAAAAAAGAAAAGTGGTGAGAGACTAATGGAGGGGGTGAGCATGCATTTACATAGTTTTAGTTTGATTTTGTTTTGAGAATGTATTTTTATGATAAATTTTATTTTCAAAAAAGTATTAAAAACTAGTTTGGTGAATTGCCTTTTCTAGAACATGAATTTTTCGATACATGTTTTTTAATTTTATCAAATGGCCTATAAAGATTGAGAATTTAAATTTTTTTAGCACAAAATGCATGTTATGGAAGTTACTAATAACATTAGAAAATATAAAAAGACAAAAAGAGGATGATTATTAAAAGCATAAAAGTTTCAAAACTACAATAAAAAATTCTCTCCATCTGTTTATATCTATGCAATAACTTAGATCTTGCCATTTGTTAGTGATTGTGTGATGAGGTTTGGAATTCAAATTGATAGAGGAGTGATGAACACACACATTATTATGATTTAAATTTCTTGCTAACATCTAACATTTTACCTTATGAAAAAAAAATAAAAAATAAAATACATTCTTATCATGTGGGTTGCAAGTTAAAATGTAAACTTTCCATATTATATGATGGTTTGGTTTTAAGGTCAATTAAGAATTAAATTGGCCTTTTTCTGTTTCTAAATTTTATTAGAAGTAAAATCATAAATTTTTTTGAATCAAACCAAAATTAAACCTTAGAAAGTAATCCAAATCCGGTTCGGTTCTTTATTACTAAACTCAAAAAATTATCAAGATATCCATACTATTCAATTCAATACAAAATTATCATACAAACATTCCAAAAAAATCATAAGAATATTTAAAACTTTTATGATATTTTTCAAGCCAACTTTTATGAAATGTGTAAAGAGATATCAATTTTTTATATTATATACTAAGTAATAATAAAAAGTATATAATCTTATAAATAGGGAATGGTTCGGTTCACTTATATTTGATTCTTTTGTGCCTTAACCTAGGAACCGAATTCATAATCAATGGTTCTGGATAGATGGCTTATTCTTATTTGAGGCTTAAAATTAAAAGAAAAAAATTAATTACTACCCTTTATAAATTTTTACACTAGTTTTAAATTTTCCGCTACTCCTATTTTTATTTAAAATTCCCAACCCTTTATGATCAAAACATTTTCTAATTATTCTAATTTTTAATTCTTTGCTTGACCCAAATCAATCAATATTCTTAACCTCCACAATAAAAAGAATAAAATAAATGTGGCTCACATGATTTTGACAAATACTTCAACAAAAGAATGATTCAGCTTGTTTGGTTCCAGTTTTCAGAAAATAATTTTCAGGAAATTCTTCTTTTTTATTTTTCGTATTTTAATGTTTTCAATGAATTTTTTTTTAATATTTTAAGCAATTTTTTTTATATAATTTTTAGACACACGTAACGTAAATACACTTAAAAAATATAATATTTGTGAAAAAAATCTTTAAAAAATACATTAAACATCAAAAAGTACCCAAAA